ATATAAAAACGTTTCTTTAATGCATCCCAAATGTTTGAAACTGAAACGGAGACTGAGATTGTTGCAGAGAATGGAATCGTGTACCTTCCTCCAATAAGAATGCACCATAGAAAAACGTGCGGGTTTTTTTGTTAATCCCCTCTTTATAGCGACTGGTTTAGCAATCTTTAAAAGGCTATATGCGTACTATCAAATTTAATAATCGTAACAATTTTACAAAAACATTTTCTTTAATTCTSACCACGTGATATTGTACATGATCTGTTTTATTTATTGTGTTTTCCATCTAAGGTTGATAGACATCTAGAAAAAAATCACTTTGAGCATGCACGAAAACAGCATTATTGCACAAACCATCTTCGTTTGGTTTGGGGATTCTTCATGAAAAATTGCCATCTTTGCCGTGACAAGCAAGCATATCGAGCAATATTCGACTGGTACGTCACCATGGTACCCGCCCTGGTTAGAATCGCTGTACCCGCCCTGGTTAGAATCGCTGTACCTTGGGGAATTTATGCCACTGTCATGACAATCGTCATCATCACCATCATATATGATCATCATCATGATTCTGGYCATCGTCAAATTATGCATCGTCATCATTGACTATCCGCTTTGTTCATCATCTAGTATCACTTGTTGCTCCACAACTTTCCAGTAATATGTGACAAGTATTTCCTCAATAAAGATGTTTGTCGAATGTGGATTCGTASTCTTCGACTAGTCACTATACAAAGCTAACCATCCTGAAATAAAAACAGTCAGATGCAGAAAAACCGACCAGCAAAAATCATACAACAGGGGTAGGGACGGGATGACTTACTTGCAAAGCGCGACCTTTTGTCTCCAATGGCAACAAAACTACAGCAATAATTGCAGCTGCTGCAAAGCTGAAGTACAGACCGATGGATACGCTAGTGGCTTCTGGCATCAAGACCTACGTGTAAAACAGCATGAAGTGAATTGTGGGAAATCARGAGTTAAGTTGAAATGTACGTACCATGGCAACGAATGGTGTAATCATGCAGCCGACTCTAGCAATGCCATTACAGGTTCCTARAGCTATACCACGAATACTGGTAGGATATATCTATAAAATACACACATCAAAAAACAATATGATACTATGACGTAGCAATGACAATAACAGTGACAATAACAGTGACGTACCTCAGGTGTATATACGTAGCCCGCCAAGTCAGCAACACTTACAAACAAACGCGCACCGTAAAGAAAGAAGGTGGTTGCTATGCGACTGAAAATAAAGTCAATATCAATGAAGTCACAAGGTATTTCTACGACGTCTCTATTTCAATTATTGATTTTTTTCTGTSCTTGTTGCATCTTACCTTTTTGTACATATAAAAAGAGCAGCCAGGAAAATAGCACTACCGACAAACGCCAGCGCCTGTACATTCTTTCTTCCTATTCTGTCGATTGTAGCCAGACATAGCACTATACCTGAAAAATACATAGAATATGGGCTTACTGTTGTTATAAGCTTTCAGCTGGAAGTATAACGAATAAAAACAATTGACGCAAGAAGCCCAAGATATATCAAATAGATTCATTTACCTAACAAATCACTAGACATAATAACAAAATAGTGAAGGTAATCATGAGTGTCCAGCGGTTTGCAGCCATCGTGTTTGCGCATGGTCGTGTCGCTGATTCGAATCCCTCGACATTTGTCCTCACGTGAAAACATCTCCGTCGTGATGAGAGCTATGCCGTAGATAATGAAATGACTGCTGAACCTGGAAAAGTAGTACGATCAATATCTTTATTTTCTATCTGGATTATCATATTATAAAGTGATGGTACCCACCAAATAAACCACATCAGAAGTGTTGACCTTMTGTACTTGGTAGAAAATAAATCCAGGAAAGTGGTTTGGTTCGCACTCTGCACGACAGTATAACAAAAATTCAGTCCATTAGCTACGTGTTTTGAAGTGATACGCGAGTACGTGAAGCGGACTAAAAAAGATTAAAGCACTGATCAACATGAACAGAACAGGACACATCAAATAATTGCATTCATTTTGTTAAGTTACAGGATGTTCACCTACTTCATGTGATTTAGAAGCGACGAGTTTTCCAGGAGGCAGCGGAGCACTGTTCTCTTTTGCAACCTTTTGTAGAATCTCCAGAGCTTTGKCATTCTCACCTGAACTGACCAAGAAGCGAGGTGATTCGGGGATGAACTAAAAAGGTATCAAATACATTACCGATGCAATAACTCCTCTCAGAAAAGTTACCTTGTTTGTCATTACTGCCTATTGCCTAATGTTTGYAGTGGTGATGGTGAGGGGGTGGCGTTAGTGTTAGTAGCTGTTGTAGTAATAGTTGTAGTAGTAGTGTGGTGTTGTGATGGTAATAGTACAATGGAGTGGTTAATACGTTTCTACACTACAAAGCAGAATACTACTGTACTAGCCGTAATACCTTCAATAGAACCAGTAATACGATCAGCGGTAGACATGATAGGAACARTAACCACCTCCATCCCAGCGTTGGCATGACAACAACAGCTAGAGCAACTTCGATACATGTACCCACTGACCACGATATCTATGACGTCAAACAGTTAAATCATATATTTAAAATCATATACCGTGGAACACGATCTTTATTTTACACTTTCTCGTAAGGCTGTTCAACAGATTGGACTATCAACTGGTTGATAAAAGTTGCGTCAACTCCTTACCATTAACACTGTAATGAGACCACCGCGGTTTTTTAGAGGAAGAAATTCCAGCCACAAGTTCACCCTTGAAATATAAAATACCAGAAGTGCATAACTATTCTTGTTATGTAGTACAGGTCATAATAAAACATAAATAATAATGTGAGAAGTACATACGCTTGTGCCACTCCTCCAAGACCGAGTCCAACGATTCCTCTCAGAATTATCATCCAGATGTACGATGGCGAGAAAGTACTCAGGAAACCACCAATAAAGATAACGATGGTGCACCAAATTAACTCCTAAAACAATACAATRACCATAAAACATCTCTTAAATGACGACAATAAAATATATTGTAAAATACATTATAATTCATTGTGTTGTTGATACAGCATACGTAGGCGTTAGGGRTTTGAATGGATGGTAAAAGTGACAAACCTTTCTTCGACCACATTTGTCTGCGCAATAGCCCCAGAAACACGTGCTGATCATCATCCCAGAGAACACAACCTGAAAACAACACGATTAAACGATAACCTTTTCGTTTTTGTAACGACATTTTTTGTTCCGTTTTTAAGAAGAAATTTATAGAATAGTACAAGGTACAGGTCTCGACAAAATGTTTGTAAACACACCTCAATCTAAACGGCTTGGAAAAACAACCCAATGGCAAGCTTGGAACTAACTATAAGTTAGGTGCGCGGTAATAATATCATATAGTTAGATGATCGAATGTTTTTGAAGAAAGCTGTGACGTTTTGCATAGGACACATATCAGATTCGGATCTTTTTACAATGAGTTATACGTATTTAAAAGAAAATGTGATGACTGGCGGTAAGTGGCAGCAAGGTGGTCTGTGTTCATAACAGGAAGAGGGGGAAGWGGGGGAAGGGAGGGGGAAGGAAGGAGGGTCTCAATTAGCCTATAACAGGCAGTAGCAAAGTAGACTTTTTCGATTTTCAAGTTCCCTGGCCTTGGTATTTCATATCAAAGCAGTTATGATCTGAGTATAAGATGTATAAGGCGTGTGTGTACCATATCACTTACCGTACTTATACTTGCTTCAGCCCATGTAGACAGCTTCCAATCACATCGAAGAGCTGGGGACATAATAGCGAGGATAGTGATCTCCATAGCGTCGGCCATCTTGAAAAACACACAATAAATTGGTYAGATTTACTGGATATATTTACTAGAATGTCATTCACGGAGATAAACACACATTGATTAACTAAATTAGAAAGTATGACAAGTTCCACGTTGTACATTTGATTGTTTAATCCTAAATTGATTTTCTAGATACCGTTATATATGATCAATTTAACAATATTTACCCAAGCAAAGCCAATTACAAACAACAGCTTGAGCTGAAAGTTGCCGTAACCAACGTTCTCAATAGCGTCCTCTACCGTAAAAGTTAGTTCTACGAAAAAAATAGTATTTCTCGATAACAGCTATGACCATTCCTGAAATGTATTTTATGGATAACTATGAAGTAATATATATAGTATTTTCATAGTAAAGATGATCAACTTACCATCCTTGGWCTCTTGACCGTGAATTTTGTCGACGGTCTCTTCCTCGAATTCCTTTCCCGCTGCCGCGGCCATTTTTCAATTTCTTTTTCTTTGACAAGAAAAYTTACCACGACATTTTTCACGGCTACAAATCTAAGTTTTTTATTCAGCTTTTCAGAAAGCTATATTTTCAAGAATTTMGAAAACCAAAATTTCAGTTGTTGGAACACTCAATGACCTGCTGTACCTGTGTGTTTTGTCTTATTACATCGGCCGGTACAACGATACGCATGAATAAAACTCTATTGAAACATTCAATTTTTTAAGTACTTTTAGAGCAAAAGCAGGAAAACCATGAAATAAAACAAACTAAATACTAACAAATAGTAACTATTTAGGGATAAATTGTCAGTATCACTCAACCAGAACACAATCAATCAGACAAAGATAAATACACAGGAGACCATCTTTAATTGTTAATTTGCGTCTATTCATATAGTTTATTAATTGTGCATTGTAATATTCCTTATCACATAATAATAAAATTAATTAAGAAGATTTTATTCATGTACATGTACATTTTACTGAACAAAGGTGCAAATTAGTGTACGATTCTAACGCTGAACTTTCCATGCGTTGCGATAATATTTTCTAATGGTTGGTGCCTGAATTGCAAGGAAAGCATCCAATATGGCCATCATCATATTGTTTTCCAAAGCACCAGGGGTCTGTATAGAGATAGATTTGGCAAGACCAAATGCCATTTCGATGGGATTCAKATCATAACTGTATGCTAGTAGCTTAACAAGAGTTATGTTCTTTTGCAGTAGTATTCTCGCCAAATAAGCTTCATTATGTATGCTGGCATTGTCACAGATAAGAAACGTATAGGAAGCAAGGGCAGTAATTGAAACTCGATAACCTCGTTTACCAAAATGGTGTTGTAGTTCCCTTCAATTGGAATCGCTTGTATAAAACCTTCATTGTATCCACATAAACCGATAAACCGAGTACTTCGGGAGGGTAGGATTTTTACTTCGATAAGACACCAGACCAAAGCCAGATTMTKTTAGWCCATACTCTCGCTGGTCAGTTTCGGTGTTAAATGATGTTTCGTCAAAAAAAATACATCCTTGCAGGAGATACGGTCAGACGCCAACGTATGTAATCCTGGCGGCGTTGTAATATAAAGGGCGAGTATCTTTCTCGAGCCACGTTTATGCATTTCTTTCTCATGAGTTTAAGTTCTTTTAGCAGTTCTCTTACACTTGAATAKGACGGGACAAGATTTGGCGGRAGKTTAAATTCATCTGCTACTTACTGGACACACTCTCGAATGTATAATGAAGGATAAATGATTATTAAGGCTTCAATGTAGATTTTCATCCATGGAGGTGAAGCTCTACTTGGTCGTCGATTTGTAAACGAGAGAGAACYTAACTGGGCTTGCTGTTGAAATTGATTTAACAGTTTCGCAACGAAATTGTATGATACCTTCTCTCTCCTGGCAGTGGCAGCTATTGAACCAGTATTAATAAACGTTAATATTATYTGTACCCGCGTTTTGAAAGGATAGGATGCTCCGTTGAAATATACTCCTCCTTTCTCGTTGATTCTCCAAGACATTTTTGAGAAGGTCTTACAAACAACGAATATTTAGCAAATAATAAAAAGTATTTTCCAGTAATAGACTCATTAAAGTGATTGTTCATGGTGCAATTCTCTTGTGTATTTTCTGTCTCTTGTGTATTTTCTGTCTCCAGTGTATTTCTGTTAATGATGTTCTGGTTGAGTGATTTACAGTTTCTTACTAACAATTAGTTAGCAACAAGACTCTACCTAAAGTGATAGAACAAGTATGTCAGGCSGACCTCGAACATGTGTGAAGTGTMGTCTACACGGCAAAGTCAGCATTCTAAGAGGACACAAATGCTCAATGCTCTTCACATAACTACGCAAAGGAAGTGCGTGAGACAGCTGGAAATGACTTCCCAGCAACTTCGACGACCACACGTTTGTCTACCACCTTCGAATCTCCAGTATCTTTCCCAGAAATGGCTCCTGCAGATGTATTAAGCCTTGCCGATCTAGAAATGAACATGAAAACTCTTCAAAAATGCCGCACGGAGCAAGAAAAACGACAAGGTAGGACTTTTAAAATGTTTTAAAATTTTCACTTATGATTTTCATTATCCAAATACTTGGTTCAGTTCAAATTACGTTAAATTTGATTTAATTTACTTCGAAAAAAGACGCAAGCAACTGGAGCAGCACYAGCAAAACAGGAAGAGGAGCAAAAGAGCAAAGAGACTGACCATACAAAGACCGGGCGTATTATCATTTCATAAAGACTCAAGTAGCCAAATACCAACAGCTCCACCTCATCCTGTCACTTGCCCTGAGCAGAACCGCTAGCTATGGTCAAGAACAAGACAAACTACTCTGTGATTCATGTWTCAACTTAATGGCCGTGGGTCAAAACTTTTGTCCCTTTTGCGGGGAACTCTTAACAAAAAAATATGAAAGSCTATAATTTTTTGGAATAAAATAAATCAGCTTTTTGTAAAACAAACATTTTTKGTCATTTTTTTGTCAGAATATTACAATRCACAATTAATAATAATACTATATGAATAGACGCAAATTAACAATTAAAGATGGTCTCCTGTGTATTTATCTTTGTCTGATTGATTGTGTTCTGGTTGAGTGATACCAACAATTCATCTGTAAATAGTTACTATTTGTTAGTATTTAGTTTTGTTTTTATTTCATGGTTTTCCTGCGTTTGCTCTATTGTATTTTGGCTAGAGGGTTTAAATTATATGTTGCCTTCAGTAGAGTGATTGTCATATTTACGCTTTATAGCATATTTAGTAATATTACCCAATTTTGCCGCTCGATTGTCTTTTACTGAGACATTTTACACTCTCAGTCTGATTATTTTAGACTTTATTTTAAAGATTTTTGAAAACCGCTCAACATTAAAGAGCAGTACTGATAGCCATGGAGTCATGTCAATGCATGAATGAATGCCACGCGGTAAAAGACACAGAGAAAGACAACGTAAACCATCCTMTGAAGGTGTGGTTATCCAATGTGTAAAGCTGACTACAAACCCGTGAAAGAGAGTGTATGTGTTCAAAATGTAGTGCAAAACTATAGTGGAATTAAAAACCCTTTKCACAATACTACAGTCAGTACTATAAGAATTCGATCATCTTAGTCTCTTGTGTGCAAACAAAAATATTAAAAATGCAAAAATTTCTTCTTCGCAGTTGTATGTTTATACACAAGGAACAGTTTTACTGATGACTCGGTTTTCTTCAACATTCCTTGTAGTTGAAATCAGTGTTTTTATTGGTCAGTTGCAGTCRGCCATCGAGTAGCATGCATCAAAAACAGTTACAATAGATTATTTATTTGCTAATCGATCTTTCATTTGGCCAGGGCAATCCTGGAAATACTGGTCTGTCATTCTCGACAATTGAAAAAATCCTACTTTACTGAATTATCTTTTCTTTCTTCAACTTTTAATCAGCTCCAAATTTTCTTTGGGAAGGGGGTTTATCCATCCTGTAGAGACRGGTTGCCGGGGTGAAATAACCAACATACTGCACGTCGTCAGGGGTGACGTCATAATGATAGTGACCACCCTCGCCATGGTTACCGTATCCATGAAAGTGCTCGATACGGAGATCAAGGCCCTTAGTAAAGAAACATGAGACATCGTGTTATTTGTGAGTGAACTATAGGGTCCTATAGTATTATAAGACGAGCTACTGTGATAACCTGACAAGACCTTAACAATCGACTAGAATTAGAAACAACGTGGTTTCTATGCAAATATATGACGTATTTTTATGCATAATCATTAATACGCTTGCAAGACGCGCGCCAAAAAGACGTACCGGGTCATGACTCTCAAACACACCAACGCAAACAAGAGGTGCGGACATGTCGTAAAACTTCAGCCAGTTGTTTACSTCCCCATCAGTTTTAAGAGGAGTTTTGGAGAAGTCTGGCTGAAAATATAGAGAAAATAAATGAGAAAAAAAAACGAAAAAAAACACGTGAAAAAAAGTAATGACGCGTCCTTTGAGCAGTAAAGTAACAGCAATTTCGTTGTTTGGCTGACATTTCATTATAAATAGGTTTTCAACTCCAACGAATTTGCCCATTTAGTATTTAGTATTTAGTATTTAAACAGTCTTTCACTATTAATACCTTGGTGATGGGTGGAACGAAATACGTTTTTTAAGGGTAAGGAAAAAAGTGATCTTGCATAGAAAGGAGTAGAGGAGGACAGTAGAAATGAAGGAAAGAAAAGATATATTTGATGTTTTTACCATTATGTGAAACTTTGCCTTTCCTTTCTCAATGACAAACACACCACCTAACCCTACACTCTTATCACCATATTTGGCAGCTAAAGCTGTTCTCATAGAGGTTATGAAGTTGTCTTTTCCTGTCCTCTTGGAAGCTTTGACTCTAAGAACCTGAGAACCATCAGTCATCATGCATGTGATTAGGACAAAGGTTAGTCTACATGTGAATGACCAGAATTGAAAATAAAAAAATAGAAATATCTAAATTACTTTAACATTCATCCAACACTCAGTTTTCCAGAGGAAGTGCAAAACTGTTGAAAGGTATCTGTGCCTTTGCATTGAAGTAAAATGTCCATTGAGAATGCTATGATAGATATCTGTGAATAAATATCTTTAGTATTACCATATTAGTGGACTATTGCAAATCCTTTGTTCTGATTGGCTACGCTACTCGGGGYCTAATTTCTTTTTTTCTCGGCCTTGTGGACAACGAGCTGATAGCCTATCAGCTATCAGCTCATAGTCTACTCGCCCTTGAGATCTAATTCTTAAGTAGGACAAAAGAAGGATTCTACTATTACATGCTCATGGTCATCTTGCTTTGATACAATTCAAGATGGCACAGAGAGCCTGTGAATTGGTAAAATTGCAAAATTATGATAGGCTCTTGTTCATGACTCACCTGACCAGGTTTTCCCTCGGAAATAAGGACATTGGCCATGAGTGCAAAGTCACAACATTTATAGTCCTGCAGCACACAGGATTCATCCTATAAACACCATTTTGGAATTAATTTCTCTTGATTTGGCAAACCTGTACTTATAACAGGAATTCCATATCATATGACAATATAATACAATATATATATAGCTAACAATATAGCTACCTCCATGTGAACTTTAGATATTCTGCTTCCAATTACAGCCTCTGGACTTTTGTTTGATTTTGTACATATATTTGCAATCATCTGTTGATGAGAACACACCATATAATCAACAAACTACAGAAAGTCCCACACTTGATAATTTTAATCACAAATTCACTAATTATTTTTCATTTTCTAGAAGAGGTCCAAACATGTCTAAGTTTGGAATCTAAGAAAATTCTTTGTGGGAAATGTATTCCACTGTTGCCATACTTCACTATTAACTCCAACATAATGACTGTTTCCAGCTCCTGCACCAATACAAAATCCACCCGGACAACCAGCTTTCTCTGCAATGATGTTCATGTCATAAACCTGAAATATAGAAAAAAAACAAACAATTAATCATTTGAGATGGTTCTCTAGCGAGTACTTGATATTTTTAAATCCAATAAATCAATAAAATTTGTTTCAATTTAAAACAGCATTTTTAAATGCTATCAAAATAGAATTAACCACTACCTTGTCAAGCTGAGCAAGTGGAAGTAAATAGGCTGGTCCACCAATATCTGCTATCTTTGCATTTCCACAGATTCCTTACCAAACAAAATAACTTAATTAAAGTTAATATAGCCGGCCCTCTTCTGTCAGCAAATCTTAGGATTATTCAGGACCTTATGGTTTGAGATAAGTACCATATTTAGTGTCTCAAATGTTGGGTCAGTTTATGACACATTATGATACTTGGACAATGTTATCAAAATGATTACTATTACTGTACTGCCTTTGTAGCTGAGATAATATTATAAGCACCCCTATTACCAGTTAGGATGATTTTCAAGCGATCCATTGAGTGATCATTGATTTGACACAATGTCAAATAATGCAGATGATCCAAGGACCAACAATTGAAACTAGCTGTGTTACGATGTAAGTTTACATAGTTTACCTGAAGCTGCCAAGTTCCATGGGGAATTCTGCAGGTTGGGACAATCCACTACGTCAACGTCGACTTCACAAAAATTCTTCTTCAAGCCGTCTTTGAAGACTAATATAAAAAGATATGATAAATATAAACTAAAACCTTTTGAGTTACRATAGATTAAAGTTTTAATCTCAAATATTTCGCCGTTCTTGGCTGCRTTTAGTGGAAACAAAAGATTGGTTCAAAAAGGGAATAGTACTAAAGCTTAAGTAGTTTTACTTGAGCCTCTTTTTGTCATAACAAAAAGATTATATTTTCATGAAAAAATATAGACATATCAAACTTCGTTTGTGTTACCTTTTGCCAATTCCTCTAAACTTGGCACCAAAAGATCCAATGGTTCCACAGGAAAGTCTGTTAGCGCCGCCATTTGTGAGTTGGCTGAAACATCATATTCACCAGGCGTTCCATAACATAAACGAAAGAAACTCGGTACTACTAAAGCAGCAGCCAATCAAGCGATGCGTTCTTTAGAAATGTTTTCGTAAATTCTTTGGCTTCAGATAGTAACTTATAACATAATTTTTCTGCGAGATTTGCTATGTCGCGTTTTAGGCAAATAGGTCGTATTGCTGCACTTGGGTTAGCATCAGTATCTGGCGCAGTGTTTGTTTGTAGTAATATGCGAAATACTGTACTTGCAAAGCCAGTTGACTATTTTGAAAATGACAGAGATTTCAGGACTCGACTTGCTATGATGTTTCGACCAAGTTTTTCACAATGGGATGACAATTGGGATATGTGTGAAACAACATCAAGATCGAAGAAGAAATCTAAGTTAACTGAAGACAACGTAGACAATGAACCAGACATCAAACCAACAGCGAAACGACATTTGGTCTTCATTCGCCATGCGCAGTACAAAGACAACGAAGAACTTGATGAGAAACGAATACTTACTGAACTTGGAAGGTAAGACRTCTGTGAATTAAGGATGTTATTTGTTTTGTTCATTATTTTTTTGTACCTAACAGASTGTTTTATTCAATGAACGTTGTGTTGGAATGTGTACTTTAAGAATTTAAATAATTATACTTTGCACTCTGGGTGTAATTGTCTAGTTCATCCAGCCACTCCCTTATAGAGGATGTCCAACTCCTATCACAAATATTTATTTGAAATGCCTGGATATTGACTAAAATTGTTGTAATCTGTACACTCCATGTTCTGCCTAGGGTAACCCAGTAGGAATAAAGACATTCATGTCACCTTGTATCGGATGGGTGAAGATTACCATGACAACCATTGGTAATAACCCATGAGGATGATAGTTGATCAAAAATCGTTTTTTTTAATTGCAAGTAGAATATTATACCACTTGACTTTTCCATTTCAATAATTATGTAATGGATGTTTTTTGGTAGAATTCAAGCAGATATCACTGGGCAAAGATTGAAGGACCTCAATAAACCCTTCACAAAGATAATAGTATCAGATCTTGTCCGTGCAAAAGAGACAGCAGAGATAATATTCAAGCACCTGCCTGATGTACCAAGGGAAAGCTGCTCATTATTGAGAGAAGGAGCACCTATACCTCCTGAACCACCATCATCAAACTGGAGGCCAGAACAAAAGGTTATTATGTCAGGTTCTCAATATTTCCTTTCCCTATGGCTCTTTTTGTAAAATAGGAAAATAAAAAAAGTAGTTGCATAAGCTTTGAGCTTTAAAAATATCAGTCTTGAGGTTGTGAATAAATCTAAGCCTTGACTGTCCTTCGATTTTTTATCTTCTCTCTTGTGAGTCGCTTCCCCTATATTTTCTCCCACGAACTGTTTGAGCTGATTTTGATAGTTTCTTCAAGTCTTGTTATTAAAGGCCCATGTGTATCCAAGAACCTCTGCACGATTTTTTCACATACGAAAATTCGCCATCTTTAATTTTTGAACCAATCAGAAAGCAACTTTCAACAAAAGGTCATTTGCAAAACAAAAGAAACTATCACAATGGATGCATGTGGGCCTTTAATCTCAAAGATCAGTAATTTCTATCCCTCTAGTAGCAAACTGGAAATAATGTTTAATGAATCATATATTATACATTATTTGCTAATCTATTTCCATTTGGACAGAAGTTTTTTCAAGATAGTGCCCGTATAGAAGCAGCTTTCAGAAAACATGTTCACAGAGCTGACACTATGCAGAGTGGAGACACTATTGAAATCTATATCTGCCATGCCAATGTGATACGCTATTTTATCTGCAGGTAATAACTACTGTCTTATTGTATCAGTAACCATGTCAGACATGTATATGGCAAGGTTGGCAACATTTAGAGAGAAAAAAGATTCATTGAAACCTTTACTGCAATTTCTTAAAATATTATGTGGACTCCAAATGCTAACTGCCATTTACTATTTTAATACTGTTAATAAAATATCTCAAATGTTCACAAGGCTTCTCTGACAAAAGATCTGGAATAAATTAGTGACTTCAAATGTTTCCTAATTTTAAAGGAGTTAAAAAATGCTTTGCATCCTGAATCCAATATGGTGGAAACCAGTCTCATTGAAGAATCTTTTATGGATTGTGGAATCCAGGAGCTTGGAATCTGGTATCCATGATCTTAAAATCCACAATTCTAAAGGATGGAATGCTCTTGATTCTGTGCCATGAGGCAAATGACAGAGATTTGATCTTTGCATATTGAAATTAGTTTTGAAAATTGTAGACTCCTCTTATAGGTGCAGTAACAATCTAAAATTGCTGAAAAACTGTTTGTGTTTGTAGGGCACTGCAATTTCCTCCTGAAGGTTGGCTTAGGATGAGCATTGGTCACTGTGGTATTACTACAATGACTATCAGACCCAATGGCAGAATATCACTTAGAAGTATGGGGGATACAGGCCATCTTCCACCAGAAAAAATCACTTTCTAGAATCTGAAATTCATTGAACTTATTTATCAAGGTCTGCAAACAATCCAAGCATGTACATTTGTGTATTTCTAGTGTTTGTATAAATGTACAATGCTGGATATGATACACTGGATATACTTGTATTTATAACCTACTGTATTCTTGGGAAGCATTCTTAGTGTGCTACTCCTTATTGTAATAAAAAAACCCTACTGTATTTAACCTAGAATAAAAGTTGACAATTTCCTAAACCATATTCACTTGTGGTGTTTTTAAACTAGTCATTTTTTAGCATGACATTTTAAAAATTAATTGCACTTGGATGGGAAGAAAGTAGACATTTTTACAGAGTAAGAGAAGGGAGTATACTGCATTACTATCACTCACAGGCCACACCAGAATTTGTTAAGGCCGATTTAGACAGTACAACTTTTGCCTATAACTATCGCATGCAACATGCGTAAGTCATCCTTACAACATGGCTACAACTGTCGTAGGGTTATCAAACAATTGTTTTTAATCTCCACGACAGCTGTAGCCATGTCGTAAGGATGACTTACGCATGTTGCATGCAATAGTTGTAGGCAAAAGTTGTATCGTCTAAATCAGCCTTTAATAGGCTGGTCCATTTCTCATTTGTGTCTTTCTTAAGGCCCGTTTACACAATTTTTGATCACGATAATCGCAACTTTGCTATCGTACGCACAAATGGCCCTGTGATTGTTCTGACAATGGAAAATTGTCACAATTTTCAAGTATGTTCAAAACTAAGGCGACAGTTGCATGATGATCACCACAAGAGTCGCTCTACAAAAATCACAATCGTAAACGGGTCTTTAAAAGAAATAGTGGTCTTAATCATATTATAGAATAAAATTCAGATATAAAGTTATAAGTTTTCAAGTGTTTTGGCTTTCTTAACATGCCACTTGTGTGATTTGGATGTAATGTGTTTTGCCCAAGACTTGTCTCCAATAATTACTCTGTTATTACAAGGTTCACAAACATGCCTTGAATGAGCCTCATTTGGGTCTACAACTTTTCTTGTTAGTGGTTCACAGTTTGGTGACCTGTGGTTTGTTATACAATCTAGAATATGTAATGCTTGTTGCAGGACATTACTATGCCATTTTGTTAAATCTGTTGCATCAAGGCCATAGAGGTCAGGTGATGAGCCTTTAGGTCTTGCAAGAAAACGGTTTTTCACCCACTGGATTTGTTTTTTGGCATATCTGCGTGTTACTGTTTTCATGGACTCCACACATTGATTGAAGACCTCTTTGTCCTTTTCTTGGATTTCGTAGTTAGATTCTTCTGAGTTTCTGTTGACAAGGAATTCATGAAATTCCTTGAAACCTATTGATTGGAAAATACCTTCAGTGTACTTTGCCTGTGAATYATTCAATCTTTCTTTGTTGTAGTTTGCATGGAATTCTATAAGTTCCTTCAGCAATCCATTTTTCATCATATCCTCAACTCTATTATCAAGCCTTTCATTTAGAATGTCCTTTTCACAYTGTARCCACAATACACACGTCAAGTCAAACCGCATAGGACCACCAAAGTCTGAGCCCCCTTCTTTTGACTTCTGATTATTTATGAGTGCACTGTGTGGCATTCCATGCTGTTTATAAACTTGCAGACTTCTTGAAATTTTCCTCGTATCATTTGGATGAAGTTTCAAAGCCATATCAGGATCAACTTCAATCAATTGCTGATGAAGTGTTAGATTGTCCTTATTGTTATCACAACTCTTTCCTTTCTCAATTAGTTTTCGTCTTTTTAGGGGACTTTCATCATTGTCATCATCATCATCATCAGAGTTGTCAATCAACATATCCCATAATAATGATTCTATGTAATAATTAGTTCCTCCAACCACAATTGGCACTTTTCCGCGTTTCTTAATRTCTTCTATTAAAGGTAGCGCCATGTTTCTRAACTGTACAACTGAGAATTCCTTCAGCGGTGACAGAAAGTCRATCAYGTGATGAGGACAATGTGACAGTTCTTCTTTTGTAACTTGGTTTGTAATTATCGGAAGACCTGAGTAAACTTGCATTGAATCTGCACTGATTATTTCTCCTCCTATACGCTTACCTATTTCTATAGCAAGTTTGGATTTCCCAGTACCAGTACAGCCTAAAATAACAACTAAAGGAAGACGTTTTGCACATTCCCTGGACGCCATTTTGAGAAATTGTATAAGCGCCTCGGCTTGATGTAGAGGTTAACGACTAGGAACGCCTGACGAGAACTGACACAAACTGGAGAAAATGCGACTGTCAAGCACTCAACTGTCAGAAAATGCAAGATGATGGACGAGAAAAAGAGGAGGAAATTGGGTTTGAGCTTAAAGGTTTCTAAAAAACTTGTCATAGGAGATAAAGAGGAGTTCAAGAGCAAGTCAGGACTTCAAACACAAAATGTTAAAAATTTCAAATCCCAGTTGAAAGTAAATACTGATCATGTTAGTAGCTCTCCAGTGTGCGAGCCATCATCTTACTATCGATGTGAAAATACCTCTACGATTGATATTGGTATTCCAGACAGCGAAAGGCAAGCGTACTATACTATTGTTTCATTTCATAGAATTCTCAGCGATCATATATTTATATCGTTTATATTATAGATTACTTTGGAAAAATATATTTYCATCTGCAGAGACTTGGGAGGATTTAGAAGATCTACCAAAAACTGTAAGTGCACACAACTCTTAAAGGAAAAATGTCAGATTCTAATAAAGACCATTATACTGAAAAAATGATTTCTAAGATATTTTTTTYCTTCAGGGTGTAAGCAGCTCCCCTAAAAAAGATGGAACAACTGTAACAAACAGTGAAATCACAAATATAGATGGMATTAATGACAATTTGAATAGATTACATCATGACAACTACATTGATTTACCAAAATCTTGTATTATTTGCTRTACAAGAAAACCTGTCCAACTTATTTATCCAGCAATTCAACAAACAGAACTAAAAACATTGTTGCCACAAGTTAAGAAAAATGCATCCAAAGCTGCTAACAAAAACATTGACAAAGAAATACCAATCAGAAGCAGTTTAGGTGATGATAACAAGAWGCATGATGTTGGAGGAAACAAGAGGAATCAAAAACAGCATCATCATGAACAAAATTTTATCTTAGGATGCCACACTAGGGATATTAACAAAGAAGAAAATATGACAAGAATATCCATGCCAAATAATGTAGCTATTGATCTTACTGATGACAATTCAGAACACAAATCTGATGGATTTAAAAACCATTGGAAGAAAAAATCTCATGGTTTTAGATCATTTCCAGGAAGTATAGATGAAAATATATCAAAGAATTCACATCAGATGCTCAATTCTTGTTTAACCAACAAACTTGTTAACAAACCACCTATTTGCAGTAAAGGAACCCCAAGTAAAGAGGAATTAAAATGTTGTCCAATGTGCCAGTTACAGTTCTCTCACAGGTATGTCTTAGAATTTTAAATTGTATTTTGCTAATGTAAACTGTAAAAAATTACTTATAGGTCTGGGATCCTATCTCCTAGTGAAGATTCGCTCGTGCCTCATGATCATCTTTTCTCCCTGTGGAATCACTACTCTTACATCTGGGATCTGCTCTCCATATGGGAAATTTCCTACACTTGGATAATGTTGCATTTTTGTCCACCTGTAACGATGTCAGGGATTTGCAACTTTAATATTAGATCACAAGGCAGGGGACCTCCTCCCCTCCCCCCCTCCTTCCCACCCTATTGGCCTACTTTCTTTGCTCCATTAAAATATACAAACCCATACTTAGCCTAGTTTCATCTCTTTGCTCCAACGAAGGATTAACGTCCAAAACATCAGTGAGTTGTTTTTTTATGGTGTTAAATTTATCTTTTTACACAACCATCATTAAGCATCCAATAAGAATGCAGAGGTGACTTGGGAGGGTACAATCATAGACTTACGGTGATGACGTCACATCAACCTTTGCATATGCCGCTGGGACGTCAAAACCCTGATACTGTTCCAGAGTGAAATCGCTGAAAACTATACCCTGTTCCAGAGTAAAATCTCTGAAAACGATATCCTGTTCGAGAGAAAATCCTGTACTAGCCTGCGTGTAGACCGAATTTTTACCCCGTGAATTTTTAYCCAGCATCAATATTTTTGGAAGTAAACCATGACCCTGTTCCAGAGAAAATTCGTTGAAATTGATAACCTGTTCCAGAGTAAAATCGCTGAAAACGATACCCTGGTTGGCGGCACGTCCCAGTATAGCAAATATARKGGATTATCCCCCCGGGATTGGGGTGGCAGGTTGGAATGCTGGATTTGCAAAGGTCCACAGCTTGATGGATACTAATAGTCAGTATGACATTACTGCATGCTTAAGTTAGAACACATTTTGACAATCAGAATACTGTATTTGTTTCCAAATATGTAATTATAAAATATATATATAATATCAAAGAGGCAATATTTTGCTGTAACTCCGAGTTTCGTGCTACGCACTCATCAGACAGTAGTGCATAGCACGAAACTCGGAGTTACAGCAAAATCTTGCCTCTTTGATATTATATATATAACTAGCTCTACACTTTATGTGTATTGAGCACTCTTTAATGGGATCAGCTACTTCCTCATACAATAATTATAAAATATATATATATAGAAAATTTCATCAAAATATACTTCATTTATTTATAGAATGAGCAAGCAAGAAATCGACATTCACTTATCAAGCTGTATTGGAGATGAAGTAATTATTGATGATGATTCTGATGAAGATTGGTAGTAATTAAAGATGTCTTAATCAAAAATGAAAATAAATAGCAAATAAAATTTGTTAAAACAATGAAATAATGCTTGAATTTCTTTTGCTTCCAAATGTACATGCTACACGATTTACAAAGTTTACAATTCTTTATTTTGCACATTTTTCTTTGCCGTGGCTTATTGCACTTCATCCTCTGGAGCGGTTGAAAAATGGGTTACCTGTTGTAGAGTGGGACTGGTCGCTAATAAGCGGAAGCGACTCTGATCTTCGCGGCCGGTTCGTGTGTATTATTTATTAGAATTGTTCTTTTGTTTTTACTGATTTACTCTTCTGATAAGTGCAGGCTGTTGGATGGCTGCAATTGCAGAAATACAGTCTTTTCAAGAATGGGACGAAGAATGGCAAACCGTCGAGGAAGATTTTCAAACCTTCAAGGTCTGAACATTGAACTTGATCATGACCGTAGGGTTCTAAACTTTTTATTGCAAATGCATTTTCAAAGAAGTTAAACTAAATCTGCAGAGATAAATGATGCGAGATGATTGTTTACTCGTATTTTGTTTGTGTTACTRTTATAAAGAATTGACAGCTTTACTTTTTTATGGCCTTGAAATTGTCGACATTTTGCAGTTTTGGATTTGTTCCAGATTTGTTTGTCTGTCTGCACAGGTTCACCAAATAGACTACAAACCTCTTAAAAAATGCAACCACTTTCTAATTGATTCAAATAACTTTAAACCGTTATTGTTCCTTGGAAGCCTGGAATCATAAACTTAAGTTATATCATGGCTATTTTGTATTGATTTGTTTTTAATGTTTTTTCCAACACTGACACCTACTCAAGTATTAAACAATTTATCTCATTTGATGGTTCGATAATAATGATTAGAAAATATCTCATTATAGATGTGATTATAGTTTTGAAAGCTGTCTTTAATTACTACTGCATATTAACCACACTAATTACTCAATGAAGCACTAATTAAAAAACACAAACAAATCAATAGCAGAATTTAGCAAACATTTTCTACTTTTTACATTTCTGATCTATAATGCTAGTTTTGTTGAAATCAAGCCTAAATAAAGTTAAAGGAAAGCTATTATAAATAAATAAACAGAATATAAAAACAGTTAATTAAAGGAACATTTAATGTATGTACATGGACTAATGTTTTTCAGGTAGGGAAGTTTTCAGATTACCAAAAGAAGATGGATGATTTCCACAGAAGTCAAAAAGCTTGCCTTAGTAGTGTTAATGTTATGAAAAGGAGGATGCAAGACTTTGACAAAGCTCTAAGACGGTAATTTCAGTCCATCCTTACACAATAAGAATTATCTAGTACGAAAGCCAGTGTTAATACCTCATTTTGCCAGGCTGGAAAAGGGGTCCTCATCAGACTCTGCAAAAAAGGCTGCAGAGTTACGGTATAGAATGGACTTGCTTGACAGCAAGATAAAAGAAATGCAAAGATTTCTTCCTTCTTCAGCAGGGTAAGGAAAGGATTCTACAGGATTTAGATAGGAGGAATTATGTGTGCAACTGGTTACATGATTTTAGACAGCCACTTAAATTAATGGTCATCATGACAGCTACATGTATGTATAATTAATACAACTATTACTATGTATAATTTTGTTATTTGTCAAAAGGTCATTAATGTTACATTGAAACTTGTTTTTGATTTTGCTCTTTTTTTCKTTTAGGTCTTTCCTAAGACTTTGTTTAGGCGATATCAATGTATCACTCTWCCACAAAAAGTAAGAAATGTTATCAAAATATAATTTAAAAATGCAATAAAGAAGAGTAACTTCTTGATGWACTGGCACCGGTTGTAAAAAAAACTTATCCACTTGTCTCTTGAATTTCTCTATTCACTCTTCATACTTGAGGAGCATGTAATTTAGCCTCTTGCGTCTTCCTCCAGGTTGGGTAGGAATGTTCATTGTTGTGTTTTGTTTAGACTTGAGTACAAAGACAATTATGAAAGATTCAAATTGAAGATGACAGTTGTGTGTATGGTGTTCGCATTCTTCAATCTTCTTATCTTGAATTACAGGTAATAGAATTTTATGTTTAAATTTTAATCTATGAAGACACTTGTTTTTTGATAGTATTTTGTAATGATCTATTTGTTCAAACATGTCTTTCTTGCTTACACTATATTCTGTTGTAATGTTTCTAAATATATATTATGTAGTTACAAATATA